CCGGGCAAGCGGGCGCACCTGTCTCTTCCGCTGCAGCTCCAGGCCTGCCGGGATCTATCTGGGCCACAGGGCTAGGCAGTGCGCCCTGAGCGCGAGGGAGGGCGCGGCCTCTCGGGAAAGGCCACTGGGACCTCCCAGGCGCATCACCTCCCCGGGAAGGGACAGTCACAGTTCCCTGAGTGAATCACTTCCATCCCCTTCCCGGAATGTAGAAGGCCACGTGGATCTGCTGATGCTGTGGGGGAACTGCAGGGAAATAGTCTACTGAGGGCGTTGTGGGACCAGGTCAGAGATGGGCCCTCCTTACTACCCAGTTGAGTCAAGTGTCCTCATCTAGCCTAAGTGGAAGTAGATATGGGGCACGGTCCCTTTTTCTTTTGCCCTTACCAGCTCAACCCTGAGGCAGGCCTTGTCTGTACAAGCCTTCTTCACAGCCCCTCCCTAACTGTTCCACAGTGATCTCCAGGTGGAGTTGAAGAAGTCTTGGAAAAGCCGCTATCCTCAGGGCTGGAGGTCACTGTGGGGTCAGATTGATTCTCTAGGCAGCATACTGGCTCCAGACTGATACTAAGCTCTGAGTTCTCTTGTGAAATATGCATGCACACCAAACATGAGCATTTGCTAACCCATGCAAAGAAATTCATGGTTAACCTAGAGTCATGGTCTAGTCTGGTACATCTGTACACCTGAACATTCAAATGGTCAGGAAAGCTTCGAGTACCTTTCCTATGAGAAGGGACTGGATCCTCAGTGACCTTCAGGAAATCCCTAGGAGAGGCAAGCTGTGGCTTGTTTGCACCCCAAGTGCCTGGCCTGGCTTCTGCTGAGTTGAAGTAGCAGAGCCTGGGCTCCAACCTGCAGCCCACACCACATCCATGGTCCTCACTTTGCCCAAGAAGCCAAAATGTTGGGAGGTTTTGGTGAGTGAGTTTAGCCAGCAGCCAGCACTCCAAGGCTCTTCTCCTGCAGCCCAGCACAGCCTGGTTGTGTGGACGTGCAGTCCTGCGGGTGTCCTACCTGTCCCCCACATGGGAGCCTCGTCATCTTGCCTTCTGTCCCAGCCCAGTTTCCCCCGCCCCCCAGGGCCCGGGAGCTGCTTTCCTGTTTCATTTTGGGCAGGAAGAGTGAGGTCGTGTTGTTCTTCCCCCTGCTGCCGGCTCAGGCTGTGGGAACAGTTCCCTGAGTGCTTTCCTGTTTGATACCCTGTGTGTGCAGTGAAGGGAACCGGGAGCGATGAGCAAGGCATGAAGCTTGTGCATGCTCCTGAAACTGGCACAAACACCAAGGTCCAGGGTCAGGGGAGGAGAAAAGGGGAGGCAAGTTCACTGTGTATACTTGGACTCCACAAGGAGTGAGGTATTTGGTGGGTCTATTTTGCTTTACTGTGGACAGGCTGAGAGCTGGGAGCATTTGCTCAGCTTTTTATCAATGGCTCATTTTGTCATCATTTGCTCTCCATAGAGTATGTTTGTGGCTGTAAAGAGAGGACTCTGGCACCCTAGGGACTATCCTGTGCCTTAGAGGAAACTGGGCATGGAGTAGACTGGAAACTCCCTTATTAGTGCCTCAGTCAGAGAAACCCAGGCTCCAACTCCTCCCCTCTTTACAGTCTCCAGTAAACTCCAGCAGCTCTGGGCTAACAAGGAAACCAGAACCTCTATTCTCTGTCCACCTGCAAGAAGGACAAACCCAAGGCAAACCCCTATCCCAACCCCTCAAAGACCAGTTCCCCACTGGCACTAAAAAAAGAGCAGGTACAGTCCACATGAAACCTTGCAACAGCAGGTAAAAGGCCCCAGATATCTTCATGGCTCAGAGACCCCATTCTCTGAAAAGAGAATCTTGTTGGATAAAAGAAACACAGGCAGTGTATGGTGGTGCATGCCTACGCAGGAGATTAAAGCAGGAGGATCATAAGTTTGAGGCCAGCCTTGGCAACTTAGTGAGACTTTGTCTTAAATAAAAGGGGCTGGGAATGTGATTCAGTGGAAGAGTGCACCTGGGTCAATACCAAATACCAAAAAGAAAGAAAAGGAGAAAGAGGGACAGGACAAAGGATCTCCACATAAGCTTTTTCAGGCTTGAGGAAAGAAGGAGATTCTGGGCAGGGAAAATATTCCCCAAGGAGTACTGGAAGCATAAAGGAGAAAGTGGGGAGTAGCAACCAGCCTTAGAGTCATCAGGCAAGGAAGGCTGGCCCAGAATGGGGGTGAAATGGGTGAGATGCATGCTCCTGTAACTGGCACAAACACCAAGTGACTGGATGGGAACAAGGGCTCTTCATATAACATGTCAAATTCAAGTGTATGCACAGGTCCCAGTGGGGCACTTGGTGGCAGTATGAGAAAGGGGTGTTAAGAATTCTTTGGGGTGAGAAGGCTGGAGTATTCCCATTCTTACCACAACAAAGACAGGACCCAAGAAGTAATAAATTCCTATACACATCTGTTCCATATTATAAATACACATTATATACAAAATAATGTTATAAAATGTAGAAAGGCCAGTGCTTCTGATTCTTAAATTATCGAAATACTAGATTCCAAAATAAACTACAAAAAAAAATAAAACTCATATTATTGATTTCTGAAGATGGACTTCGGGGGTGGTCTGGGAGCAGTAATGGGCATGGGCGGAGCCCAGGCTCACGGTTGTAGGAATGGGTTTGAGGCAGGAAGAAGCTCAGGTGACAGCAGCACCTGATTTCTCCCTTGTTGGCATTTCCAACATAACTGCCCTGAGCTCACCAGTGGCACCCCTGGCTGGCAGAAGGGTCAGGCCCTCATCTCATCTGTCCCAGGGCCAGAAGGTGGTAGAATCTGGGTAAGATTTATCAATGCTCTTGCCCAGTGGGCCTAGGCCAGCAAGAGGCTGGGTGGCATTTCCAGGCAAGGCCCACATGCAGTGCTTAGAGGCATGGGGCAGAAAGTGCTCCTCTTTCTTCTTGTGTTCCTTCACCTGCAGGGCAACCCCTGACAAGAGCTGTACCCAGTGGCTTTCCTGCCCAAAGGAAGACCTGCCCTTACTGGCCCCCTTTCTCCTTTCTGATTTGGGCCCAGTTATCACTTTGGAGCCTGGGCCAAAGGCACTTGGGAAACACAGATGCCAATGGATGCCACAGCAGCTCCGAGCCCCATGGGGCCACTGCCACTCTCTAGAAAACAGGCCAGAGCCCCAGAAGGAGCCCTCTGAAGGCCACTGCTGAAAGACCAGGCCCAAGTGGCACCTCTCCTCTCCTCTGTTCCCCTGGCTGGCACAGCTGCTAATCTGATGCCAGACAGATACTCAAGGTATGCAGGGGCGGTGCATCTCTTGGCAAGTTCACAATCTGTCCAGTTCATGCCATCCCCTCCTCCTCCTGAGAGCAGCACGGTGCATATTAAAGACGTCCCATCCAGGATGCAATGTAAACAATGCAGAAGGAAGGTCCAGCTGCTGGGCCAAAGCTGGGGTATTCTGGGTAGGCTTATGCCTTATACCTGTGGAAGGTACAAATGGGGAAATGTGTTACTCTGGGCATAAGCATTTCATCTGGAACTTCCCTGGACCTTCCTGGGAGAAGCCAATGGAGCAGACAGGGAAGATGGGAAGGGAAGACAGTTCCCCTAGGCTTCTACTCCAACACAAACAGATGCCTGGGAGCTTGCACTCATGAGGTAGCCCAGTGGAGGAATCCAGGGAAGTGACAAGAGGTCATGAGGCAACCATTCTCACCCACCAGCACCTGGGAAATGGCCAGGTACCGTGGTTTCCCTGCCTAGAACCAATGCAGCAAGAGAGACCAGGCCAAGTGTGCCACCTGATCCTGTTTCAAACCCTCTTTAGCAACAAGGCCAGCAGAGACCAAAAACCACTGAATGTAGTCTGCCAAGGAGGGGTTCTGATCGACCCTTCAGGAGTGGCTCATGGGGTCAAGAGTGACCAGACCACTTTCCCATCCACACAAAGCAGCGGGGGACAAGCTGGCAGGGAAGGCAAGTCTAACACTCACCTCCGTGGCAATGACACATTCGTTCCTCTCTTCTGATATCAAACACACAGACTGGTACATGGAGTCCCTGGGGGAGCATATCGCTGATATTCGACACTCTGGCTTTTCACTGAGGGAACATAAGACCGGGTGAGTGTGAGGGAGAGAAGGAAGGAAAGGTAGGGGGAGGGCAGGGGCAATAATCTGGACCCTGTAGAGCCAAAGAGCACTTACACAGGTGGTCCGGGGGGAAGAAATGGGCCAGAGGTACCCAATGGTGACCTTTTAAGGGGGGCAGTTATCAACAGGCTCCTGAGAACTACAGGACCCCAACCATACCACTAACATCTAGAAAGTCAGCCTAGCTACTAGAGCCACACCATGGAAAATGGAAGTCATAAGAGAAACACTATGGGTCCTGGACATTTGTGAATGAATGAATGAACGAATGAATGAGAGGACTTTCCCTAGCAAAGGACCCCTATAGAATTTTTTTTTCTTGGCGATAGAGTCTTTGTATGTTGCTAAGACTGATCTCAAACTCATGATGCTCCTGCCTCAGCCTCCCAAGTAGCTGTGATTATACCACTTATATCACTACACCTAGCCTCCTAGCAGAAATCTTTCCATAGGATCCTCCAGTCAGTAACAAAATCCCATTTGTTTAAAAGCAGTCAGGGCCTGGAGCCAGTCTCTCTCCGTTACCTAGGAGCCTGGGCAAGACCACCTAGGAGTCCACGACCAGTCCCCTGGGCCTTCAAGCGCAACTCACCTGTGTAACCGCAGTGGTACTTTCTCTCCTAAGCTCTTGTCACTGTGGGGATACTTTCCAGGTAAGGTTCCCCGCCCCAGGGGCCCTGGGGCCAGATTATAGTCCAATGTGTGGTTCTGCTGTTTGCCACAGTTGGACTTGTCCATGCCACAATCCACCTCTAATTCCTTCTTCTGATTTGTGTTCTTGAGCTGGGCGGCAGGGATCAGGTTGTCCTTCTGAAAGTCCGACAAGTTGTTCATGGCCTCCCTGCTGCCATCATCCGGTCGCCGAAGCCGCAGTTGTCGCACAGCCACTGCTACCATGCCCAGCAACACCAGCACCACCACCAGCCCCACACCCAGGGAGACAGCCACCCACGGGAAGCTGGGTGGCAACCCCACAGGGAACTCGCAGCGGCTGCCCACAAAGCCATAAGGGCAATTGCAGACAAAGTTGTCCAGGGAGAGGCCAGTGTAGCAGGTGGCCCCATTGAAGCAGGGCCCTGAGGCACAGGCATCACTGGGTATCCGCACCTCACAGCGCCTGCCAGAGAAGCCAGCAGGGCAGGTGCACATGAACCCATTCTCCAGGTCATGGCAAGTGCCACCATGGGCACAAGGACTGCGGGCACAGTCACTGATGTGAATTTCACAGTGGGTGCCTGTAAATCCAGGACGGCAGCGGCACATGCGGCTTGGACCTCTGCTTAGGCACTGGCCCCCTGTGAGAAGACAGAGCACAAGTCAACAAAAGTCTGGGAATCTCCAGGTGCAGGGGGTGGAGGACCCATCCCAGCAGTGAGTTTGAGCCCTTCCATCTCCATGCACACAACCAACATGGACAGAATCTACTGCAAAGAGAGAACTGTGCAAAGACCCAAGAGACCTAGAGTTTGGGGTGAACCTAGTTCTCTATGCCTCAGTGGACTCATATATAAAAATAACTAGCATTTTGTAAAACCTTGGAATAAGACATATATGCTTAGGTTTGAATCTCAGCTGGCTCTCTCTAGCTGGGGATCTGATGCCTGTCATTTTACCTTATCCCTAAGCCTCAGCTATCCCCTCATAGAATACCTCTGAGGGTTAGGGAGGAAGGTTCATGAAGGCAAGAGCACCTGATGGTAAGTAGTAACTGCTCAAATAAATTTAATTATCATTGTTTCATTTCATCTTCACAGCCACATCAAAGATAGATAATAGGAATTATATTTTTCCCATTCAATGATGAAGAAATTGTGGTGCCAGGAAGTTCTGAGATGGAGAAAGGGATGTTGTAGGCTTCATGTCCGTCCTCAAAGGAGGCTAGTAATGGATGCAGTCAGCCCTGCTCTTGGAGGCCTCATCTTTCTTGGTGCCCACATAGAACAGTGTGGCACAAGGCATCTAGAATGTTCAGTACCTTTTTATGTACTGGGGATTGAATCCAGGGGCACTTTACCACTGAACTCCATCCCTAATCCCTTTTATTATTTATGTACTTATTTATTTTATTTTGAGATAGGGTCTCACTAAGTTGCTGAGGGCCTTGTTAAGTCAGTGACTCCAAACCTGCAATCCTCCTGCCTCTGCCTCACAGTTGCTGGGATTAAAGCATGCATCATTGTGCCTGGCTGTTCAGCATCTCCTCACCAGAAGGCTCTTAGCAAGGCAAGTGAACTTACCATTGGCACATGGATTACTGGTGCATCTATCTACTTTCTTCTCACAGTTGGAGCCAGTGAAATTGGGGGGACATTCACAGGCATAGCTGGCCCCTTGATTACGCTCACGGCAGGAGCCTCCATTGAAGCAGGGGGAGTCAGCACAGGTCAAGGTGCTATGTTCACAGTGTAGCCCATAGTAGCCAGGATGACACAGACAGTGGTAGCCATTTTCCTGGTCCTAGAGAAAAAACATAAAGGGCAAAAGTCACACCCTGAGGGTGTGTGATGGGAGTGCTGGGCTCCAGTTGCCCACAGCACCTATCCATGACTGCACATCAATTGGCTTCCTAGACTGGAAGTGCCTGGATACCACCTGGCTAGACTTCTGTTTCTTATTCTGGCCTGGGCCTCACCTTACAGCTGCCTCCATTGCGACAAGGATTGCTGTCACATTCCTTGAGTTCCAGCTCACAGTCCACACCAGTGTAACCTGGGCGACATGTGCAGGTGTAACTCCTCTGGCCACTGTTGGAGCATGTTGCACCGTTCTTGCACGGGGAATGGTGGGTACAATAGTTGAGATCTGCAGAGACAGAAACCAACCAGCTGAGCAAAGCCAGAGATACTCCCACCTCCAGGCTCCTTATAGTGCAAATTCATCCCCATGTTTGGCCCAAAGAGGCTTCAACTCAGTCTTCCAGGCACAATTATCGTTCCTTCCCTGCCAATGAAATCATGTATGTTGATGCACCTGGAACCAATATGACCAATGCAATCAATCAAGGCTGATAAAACAATTGGATAACTTCCTGCCAGGTAAGCTGATAAATACTTGCAGCCAGAGGAGGGTGAAGATAGGAAGAGGCAGAGGAAAGGAGAGCAAGGCCTTGGATCAAGGAAGAAGTCACAAAAGGCTCCATGGAGGGCGAGAAGCCAAGAGAAGCCTGAAAAGGGGTAAAATTTCAACAGGTGGAAATGGTACAAGGGAGATAAGAACTATCATAGGTAGGTAGTGACAAGCATTTTATTTTAATTAAAAAAATTTTTTTGCAGTTGTAGATGGTCAGCAAGCCTTTATTTTATGTGTTTATTTTTATTTGGTGCTAAAGATCAAAACCCAGTGTCTTACACATGCTAGGCAAGTGCTCTGCCACTGAGCTGTAGCCTCAGCCCCAATGATCAAGCATTTTTTAAAGGAGGAGGTGTTAAAAGGGTATTTTGAATTGTAAGTATTTGTTTTCTTATTGGGGAAGGGTAGGGAGGGAGAACCAGACAGAGCAAATATAGAAACTGTGAGGGCTGTGTTTGCATATGATGAGTATATGATTGTGTCACCTGGGATCAAATGTGGACAGAGGAGAGAGAATGAGTAGGAACCAGGTGTGTGTGTGTTGGCTTTGGGGGAATGGAGAGGAGAGGAATACATTCACATACAAACACAATACAGTACAGGGACCTAATTTCGCTCCCTTGTCAATAGCAAGGCCCAGGCAAGTTCTTTAAGCCTGGAAAATCCCTCCCCACTCTAACCAGTCTTGTATAGTGTCTCTGAGGCAGCAAAGGTGTTTTTGGCACACCAAAGGACTCTGAAAATGGGAGGCACATGCTCTAGCTGGCTACTAGGATGTAGAAAGAAAGACCTTTCCCCAAAGTCGGGGCTCAAAGCTTCATGTACAGTCAGAAGAATGACTAGCCTCAAATGCCAAGCAGAGACTGCATGGGCTGAAGCAGCTGCCTGGCAGGTGCCACAGGGGGAGAAGGAGAGGTTGTTTGTACCCACACTGAAAAGTCAGTTGGATGTCACTCCCTTCATCCAGAGGCCCACCTCAGCCACAGCCCTGAGCGGCTGGTGGGCACACCCCACCAGACAGCTGTTTAGGGGAGAGCTGCTCAAACAGCCTTGCAAGGTAAGCAAACATTCAGAGGGTTAATAGGTAACTACAAGGCAGAAAGAGGAACTGAGCCTGGCATCTCTTTCCCTTTGGCTTTGCTAGAATTTATGAGTGCAACTTCCAGGCTACCAATCTGTCACCCTCCTGGCTTCTTTAACCACCAGGTTTCTCTAGCACCTGGGGAAGGACCCACAAACTTATTCAAGGCTAGTTGTAAAGATTCTTTAAAAAGTCCCAAGGTCCTTGAAGGACAATGGCAAAGCCAAGTTAGCAGCTGCCATGGAAGAAGGGTCTAGACACTGTGTCTCATTTCCGGTCCCTGCCTCATCTCTCCCTCCCTGACTCACCTTGGTCACAGAACAGTCCTCCCCAACCTTCGTCACAGGTACACTGCCAGGGGATGCTGCAGGTGCCGTGGTGACAGCCATTGTGGGGGATACATTCATTGCACAGACGACCCTGCCAACCTGGGCGACAGCTGTGGGACGAAAGGAGGCTGAGAATGAGATGAGAGGCCTGGCCAAGAAGGGCTCCCTGCCCCACTTCCTGTCCCTTACTCACAGGCACTCAGCTGGCTTGCTGCAGTAGCCGTTCTGTTCATGGCAGCCAGATAGACAGATAGCTAAAGAAAGAAGACAGGGCTGGATGAGGATGGAGTACCAAGGATGCTGACGCTCCACTCTCCCCTCCAAGCTTGGGGGTACCCCTGCTATCCTGGGCTCACTTCCCCATCTCAGCCTCCCAGAGAAGCCATGTCTTTTCAAAGGGAAACAATGACACAGGGAAAAAGAATCCATGCTGGATGGAATTCAATGTGGGGATTCTTTGTGGGCTTTGGCATGGTGGGGAGGAGGATTAGGAAGAGAGAGGAGGTCTGAGCACAAGCCCTGCTCAGCATCCGTAGGTGGCCCTGAGGCCTAGCTAGTAGGTAGCCCAGGCTTGCTCTGTGAGGGAGATAGGCAGAAGCCAAGAAAAGTTCACCATGCTTGCTGGGGGACCTCCCTTATGCACTTATAGGGGCTTGGCTGCTTACGCTGATCACAGTACTCCCCAGTCCAACCGGGCAAGCAGGATAGGCTGCCATCTGGCTGGCACACATAGTGGCCGAAGTGGTCATCACGCTTCTTGCATAGGCGAGAGCAGTTTTCTCCATAGTAGTTGTCACTGCAGATGACCCGGTAAGAGTAGCGCAGCCTTGTCAGGGTGCTGTTTTGCTCATATGGTAACCAGTTCTGACCCACAGCTAGGGAACCATGGATGGCAATATTGCTGATGAGTGCATCTGGTGGCAAGGCCTCTGAAAGGACAGAGGGTCAGGTCAAGGTAAGGCAGCCTGTCCCAAGAGTGCAGGTAACTTACTGGCCAGTGCCCCTCTCCCCAGTTGTGATTATAATGGTCAGCCAACAAATCAGCCTAGTTGACCATATGACCCCCACTTGCCAGCAAGCACAGGCCAGAGGGACCCTGAGACACAAGTCCTACTGTTCAGCTCCTCTATGTGTACGCATGTGCAGGGGACCTGATATCATTCAAAAAGGGGACAATAGAAGGATGTTAGGATATCCCAGTGTTCTGGAGGCAGATAGGGAGGAGAAAGAGGAAAAGCAGACAGAGTGGAAAAAACGGGAGGGAAAAAAAGAAATAAAAAGAAAAGCTTCCCAGGGCAAGAAGGACTGGGAGCAGGGGGGTCCTTTGGTATTCAAGGGTTCTGCCCCCAGAGGTAGGTAATGGTTTTCTTTTTCCTTTTCAAAGTGAGAATTGTTGTGCTGCTGAAATATCCTTTTCCTCTGTGTCAGAACAACATCCCAAAGCCATTATTCCCTTTCCAAAGGAGCGGAATTCACGAAAGGTGTAAAATACAGGAAGGGGCCCGTCAGCGGTGCTGGCAGCTTCAGCCTTTCTCACCGCCGTGCTCCCCGCGTTCCCACGCCAAAAATAACCCTCAGGAAACGCAATTGTGCTCTGAGTCCAGGCAGCAAGCGGAATCCGAGCGTCCAGCGCGGCGCGCAGCTCCAGGCCAAGCTAAGCGTCCTGCCCCCCACTCCCAACCCCGCACTTCCCCCGCCTATAACAGGTTAACTCTTTCGGCGCTGTGCGGTGTCGCCCCCCTGTGGCTGAAGAAGAGCTACTCACCTGGTCGCAGGTCGTCTCCTGGCGTGTGCCAAGCTTCTATGATGAGTGAGAAGGTACCCTGGGAAGCGAAAGGGGGTGGGGGACCGAGAGAGAGAGAGTGAGATGAGCTGGGCGAGAGAGAAGGGGGTGCCTTGTAGCAGCCGATTTAATTAATCTAATTGAAGGATACAGTTACTGCGCCCGGGTCAACATAACGGGTCTGCCCACAGTGTAGCGCAGAAGCTGGGAAAACGAGAAGAGAACCCAAGAGTAGGGGGAGGGATGAAGGATGGAGGAGTGTAAGTGAAAGCCATGATGTGTAGGGGTTGATTTTTGCTAAGCCAGGGTGGTAGATAATGCAAACAGTGTCCCAAGAGCTTGGGGGGGGGGGCGTAAAACTGGGAAGGCGGAGACTGGTGAGAGCCTTCTCCATGGATGAGATCCCAGGAGAGAATCGAAAAGAAAGGGCCAGGAGAGAATGCGTCCCTGGGCGTTTCTGAGGAAGCGGGGAGGAATTCTAGGGAGAGGGCTTTGGTCCCAGGGCACTCCCTCCTTTCGGCTTCCGTGACCTCCCAATGCACCCAGGCTGTGCTCACCGGCCAGGTGAAATTGAAGGGCAGTTGGAGAGGATTTCGGCCCCCGCCGCTACTGTCATCCTTGACCGCGAAGGAGTTGGTGCCCAATACCGGCGTGGAGACGCTGCCGAAGGTGCAGGGCCCGGGAGAGACGACAGCTTGGTAATGCTTAAGGCAGACGCGGAAGAAAGTCCGGCAACCGGGCTCACACGGCCGCCCACTGGCCAATAAGCCGCGCTCGTTGGCGAACTCCTGCAGCTGCAGCTGGAAGACGCCTGCGCCCGCCGCGCGCTATTGCACAGGGACCGAGGGAAGGAGGGAGGGGAGCGGTCAGCTCAGCGGGCGCCGGGGCTCAGGCCCGGAGCGTGGCGGGAGGGGGCGGAGAGGGCGCGGGACGTTACCTGCTGCCAAAGTGCCACCAGCAGCAGTAGCGCCCAGCCAAAGGCGCTCCTAACCACGGCTGCCATCCCCTGGGGCGTCGCTTTCTCCACTCGCCGGCCCTGAACCTGGTTCTGTTGGGGATGCCGCTTTCCCGCGCGTCCTCCAGCCAACAGGATTCCTGAAAAAACTGGCTTCTCTCGGTATGCTGTTCCCTCGTCGCCCTCTCCCTAGCTCCGTTGTAGCTGCCTCGATAGGTAATCCAGGTGAGGGCGACTGGGCGGCGGCAGTGATAAGGACGTGTCTTCGAGCTAATCCTAGGGCTGCAAGTGGGCTGATGCCGAGGTACACTGCACCGAAGCGGCTTGAGCTTCGGCTCTCGGCCTCGTGTTCCCGGCCTGCGCACAGCGCCGCTACTGAAACCTGCGAGCTCCGGAGCCTTCCTTATATATATTGGCTCCTCTGCTCGCCGCCTGTCACTCAGATAGACTCATGGTCACTCTCCCCTCCCCTTCGGGCTTCTAGCTGCTACAGTCCCAGCACCGACCGGAGGGGGCCTCCGCCCCCGCTGCCCCCTCCCCCCCGCTAGCCATTCGCGCGCAAGTCCCCGCCCCTTGGTTCCTCTCTGAAACACTGGGCCCCCACCCCCCAGCTCTACGCGTGCCGAGATGATCGCCTGGCTAAGGGCTGAGACCCTGGCTGCCGGAGGATAGGAGGGTGGCCGAGGGAAACAGAGGGGGGTCAGCGGGTGGTTCCCGGATGGTCCAGGAGGCGGAGACACTAGGGAGTCCCCGTAGGCGGTGCCTCGGCGGCGGGCGCTATTTACCTGCAGTCTTGGAGCAGGTAAAAAGAACTTAAGCCCAGAAAGCGAAAACCAGAGCCGGAGGACCTCTATTTCTTCTTTTCTTTCCCGGAGCTTCGAGAGTCCTCGCCTCATCGGCCTCCAACCTATCAGCGCCCACCCACCTAGCGTCCCCGGCTCAGCCGAGAAGCCAGCGCACGCATTAACCTCTCAGTGACCACTCGGAGCAAGGCGAGGAGCCAAGCGTCTAAGATTCTGGTCTTCCAAGTATACCTGGTGGGCGTCTCCCTCTCTAGCTGCGGGGGCGTGCCCAGCGCGTGCCTATTCACTTCTGACCCCAGCCTGGGCTTGGCTCGTGCCAGTGCCCAGACGCTTGGTCCCCGAGGTGGGGGAAGGCGGGGCGTGGTCCCCGAGGTAGGAGGGGGGCGCGTCCTCAGCTGTATGCTAATGAGGTTCTGACTCCTCCTTCAGGGCCTCCCTCACCTGGGTCCAGCTTCAGCTCCATCGCCTACTGCCCACCCTGTCCCCCCACTCCAGCAACCCCAAGCCCCCGCCCGCGTCCTGTAGCTCCGCTGGGGCAGGGAGGAACTCTCCTGACTCCAGAGTTGACTCGGGCCACTGGAGAGTCAAGGTGAGGGACTGAGACCAGGCAGGCCCGAGTACTCTCCTTCATAGGGCAGGATGTGAGGTGGAACTGGAGTCGCACCGAGTTGTTTGAGTTTGGGGCGGCTTCACTCGTCTCGCCCGCGCGACTCTCCCGGGTGGCCTCACTTCGAGAGGCAGCGGCGCAGCTGCTTTCCCGGAACCCGGCGTGATCCCTGGAGGCCGCAGACCGCGAGGGCCAGCTTCTCCCAGTCTCGAGGGTGCCCGGGAGGTCTCTCACTCTTTGCGACGCTGAAGGCGGCGGGGGCCCTGTGGCTTCAGCTGTCAGCCCGCCCGCGCAGTGATGGCTGTCGCCGAACGATAAGATCAGTGCGGGGGGAGCGGGGACGCGTCGCGGGCCCGGGGGAGGCCCAGGCAGGGAGGGGGGCGCGGCGCGGAGCCCAACAGCTGCCAATGCCAAGCATGGTCTGATTTTTTGACTCGGGTGGTGGTGGTGGAGGATTGGGGGGCGGGAGGATGAGATACAAGAGGTTGGGAGCGTGGGTTGGGGGAGGGGCGAGGTGAGGCGACGGGCTCCGGGGTCCCCCACGCACGGCCACCCCTCCCAGCCACCATCTGGCGCGAGCGGGTTGGCGTGGGGAACCGAGGTGGGGCGGGGGCCGGCAGATGGGCCCAGGCTGCTCCGAGAGTTAATGTAGGTTATGGGCAGGCGGAGTCCCAGGCCCGAGGGAGGGGGAGCCCAGAGTGTGCCTCCCGGCAATCCTGGCAAGTGGGCTTCCAGATCCTCTCTCCGTGAATACTCTATGGCTCTCTAGTCCTGCCTAGGATGCCAGAAGGTGCTCCTCGCTCTTCTCTGAGCTGGCATCCAGCCCCACCTAGATCTGTCCGCTTCCATTCCTAAATCCTGGCCTGGGAGTTCATAAAAACATGAATCTTTTTTTGGATATGGCACTTCCCTGACCCTCAAGAGAGACATCCATTTCCCCAGGAGGCATCTCTATCAATACTGGCAGATCTGGAACTTTCTCTGTCCTCGTATACACCTGGACTAACGTCCCCAAAACGTTTTGCCCATGGTCAAGGACCAAACAAAAGTTGGGATCACTGCAAGGGATTCTAGTGTTCTAGATAGTCTCTGAACCTGGGAGGAAAACAGTAAATTTTCCTCCTTACTAGAAACACCTGCTTGCATGGGGCTTTGTCCAAAAGCTCACTACCTGTCCAGGACCCCATCCTTTTCCCTGAGTACCTACTATCACTCCATTTTGCAGGGGTAGAATTTTGCCCAATTTCTGAGCCTGAAAGGATCGCGCTGCAGGCAGGGAATCCAAGTGAATGGGCCTGAATGTTTCTGGACAGACACCCCAATTCTGGAACACCTCACTTCCACACTCCAGCGGAAGGATGAAATTTGCATTCTTGGGGCTCAAAAAAGGAGTAGGAAACAGGGAGGCGATAAAGAGGTCGCAGATCACTTGGATTGGGGACTCTTCATCAGAGTCTACTGATCCTATGACTGATGTAGACGCTTGACCACGCCCAGGAGAGTGGACTTGGACTTGGTTCAGACCAACCTGGGCTCCCACTAACTGCGAGTCTTTCTCGGATCCACAGTTCCTCAATCTCGACCCTGCCCAGCGTCGGAAACCAGACCAGAGTGGAAGCCTGACTTCACACCGAGGCCCACAGCCCCCGCCCCAAGAGGTCTTCTACTTTGCTGTCCTTTCAGTTTGGCTATTGCGCTACCACTACACATCATTCCCGCAGCAGGCAGAACTAGCACCTGGAGCCAGGAAACACCAAGGTTGCCTTCCGCAGTGCACTCAGACTGACCCCGGGTCACTGGAGTACGTCCGGAGCCGGAGCCCTGTAGTCTCTGCACTTCTTCCCAGCTGTGTGGCCTACAAGCCTTGCGCAGAGTCGTGGGCGCAGCTCCGATTTCTCTAGTAGTTTTACCCCTCACCCCCCTCCCTCCATTCCTCCCAGGGAACAGCGCTCTCGTCCCGGCACACTGCAAAAGGGTAGAAACACAGTGGGGTCCCTACCACAGAGCCCGATGGGCAGGTTGGGGGCGGGGAAGCAGGCCTGGCTGGGGCGGAGCGCTTAAGCCTTGAGGGGCGCTGCTGTGGGTGGATGCGGAGAAGGGGCCACGTGCAGGGAGCGGCGGCCCGAGAGCTGCACAGAAGGCGGGGAGATTTGCAAACTGTTGCTGCCACATGGCTGCTCCATTCGATCCATTCACATTGAAATGAGGCCGGCGCGTGCCTCATCTGCCGCAGGGCGCTGCCACGCGTCAGCCCGACCCGCCGCGTGCCAACTGGGGCAGTGGGGCTGGCAAAGTCTGCCAGCCGTGGGGGCTCAGCCCAGGCCCTACAGCCAGGAGGGGGTAGGGGAAGGGCGTCGAGCTACCCTAGCCACTCAGGCGCCACTGTTTCTCGGACCTTGGCCCTGCAATTGCGATTGAGCCGGCAGAAAGGACCAGGACGGACGGTTTCAAAAGGGGGCCAGGATCGATGCCGCCGCTCCCCGCAGATGCGCCCCGGCAGCGCTACTCTCCATCTGCTGCTGCTCGCACCTGCCGGTCAATAAATCGATTTTACAATTTAATGCAGCAGCTTCCCGCCCGCCTGGGACAGATGCCGCCGCAGAACCACCTCCGCCTTCGCCCCTCCCCTCGAGGGGCGCCAGCGGTTAAGGACTGGATTCCCGCTCAGCTGGCGGCGCCCTGCGGGGCCTAGTGCACCTCTCTTGGGAGCCCCTACAAGGAACTGCCCGCTCCGGGGTTTTTCCCGCGGACAGAGTGGGTTCCCCATAGGTCAGGCCTGAAGCTGGCCAAGGAGACCAAATGATGACTTAGCCGTGGCCTGGCTTGGGAAGGGGGGGGCGGTTCAAGGAAGGAACAGGATACAGTGACTGAAGATAAAATGTGAGGGCCCCTGTGAGAAGGAAGGGGAGGGGCATGGGCACTGAGGGACACTGAGTTCTGAAAAATTTCAAGGGGGCTGAGCTGGGTGGAGCACTGAGGTGGGATGGGGGTTCTGCCCACCCTTTCTTGTCAGTCTGGTAAATAAACATGATAAGGACTTGGCTCCCAGCACTTCCTAGCCATGTGTTCTTGGTCTTGTAATTTTACCTCAACCCAAACCTTAGTTTTCTCATCTGTGCAATGGAGATAATACTAGTGATCTGGGAGAGTGACCAAGGGACTATATCAGATTACCCATTTGCGAGGCCTAATAAATAATAATTTATTTCCTTTCCCTCAGGTGACATGCAGCCAGCGGAAGGGCAGACTTGGATTAGAGGGGTAATCTCTGACAGCAAATGAATTCCAGGGAGAAGGGGAAGAAAGAGGAGAGCCCAAGACAAACATTCATAGGGGATGAGACACAAGGAGCAAAGGGTAGGGGTAGAAAGAGAGAGGAAAGTGTGAAAAGGTCAACCATTTGAGGACCTTTCACCGGGAAGAGGGTGTGACAAAGTTCTTGACTGGAGGGAGGAGACTGGAGTTTTGAGAATGGGTTTGGAGAAGATGTGAAATGTAAAACGATTGCCTGTGCCCTTAGCCTTCTAGAGATGACCCTCCCCCAAGGTCAAGAGTAAGTCTCAAGTTGGTACCTCTCCTCCTGGAGGGTGGTATTTGAGAGCAATGGCCATGGAGAGAAGAAGAGGCTGCTTCTGAATTGTCCTGATCTTTGAGGCTACTGTCAACCTTCCCTGTGTCACCAAGAGAGAACACTAACTGGGCTAGACTGTCCCCGGGCTGATGGCTAAAGACACATGACCCAGATGTGCCAAATAAAGGATGTCCAAGTAGGTGGGACCACTGAACATGAGTCAGAGTGGTATTCTGGCTTCTCATGAGATCAGGAGTGCCTCCCATTGCCTCTCTTCCAGATACCCAGGAGCCTGGGGGCCCAGGCTAGTTCCATGTCTCCTGGGCTTTCTCTAAAGACTCAGTATGGGTGGTCTCTGGAACTCAGGTAACTGGTGCAGACCAGCTGTCTCCTCCATAAGAATGGCTTTGGTCTGCAGAGATAGTAGGAGCAAGAGAGAAGCTGAGGGTCCTGAAACCTTCTTTTTACTGTGACTCATGGTGGGTAGGAAGTTCTCCCCAGGTCTCCTGGGCACTGGTTTGGAGGAGAGAAGGGGAGAGAGGCGGGGCAGCGTAAAGACTTGGCAGCTACAGAGGCTGAGATAGGCCTGGCTGCAAGGGCTTGCTTGATGGTGACCCAGCAGCTGCCCCAGCTTCATCTGCCAAACCCAGGGGATGCCTGGAAAGCTGGGGCCAGGAGCCACGAGCGGGTATTTCCAGCCATGGAGGAGGCTGGGGTTTATGGCAGCCTTCACAGCAACTTTCCCAGAGCCCCTGGCTTCCCCTTCCCTACTCCTTCCTGTCCCCACCCTAGCCAGTGAGCAGGGAGGCTGGGGGGTGGCAGGGAGTGTGCGGGGAGAAGGTTCAGTCCTCTGTGTAGAGACCCCCCAGGCTAGGGTCCTTGCCTCAGCCTGTCCTTGCCTCCTGACTGGATTCCTAAAGGCTGGGAAGACTCAGAGGGGTCTTACAGGGTGAGAGAAGAGAGGGCACGGGGGAAAGGTGCTCCTGGGAGTCACTGGGCCAAGAGAACCTGTGCTGAAGGACACAGCAGAGTGGGGGAGCAGGATCTGAGTTTGAATCAGCCACCTCTTGGAACAACTTCCCTATCTTGAGGTTTTTCCTCCCTAGAGAGGCTTTCTTACCTGCCCTGGTCAGGCCAACCTTCATGGTCTTTTCCCCTACCCCCTCCTCAACCCTGCAACCTCTTTGTGACTTTTACTGGGTGGGAAGCCTTCCTACCTTCTGCTCAACCTGGCTCCTCTCTTCTGCCTCTGGTCCTCTGTGAGTGAAGACCCATCCTCATCTCCACCCCTTGGAGTCCCTGATCCTTGTGTGCCCTCCCCCTTCCCTTGCTGAGGGACAACTCATCTCCTAGAAGCAACTCTGACCTCTCCTCATTTGCCCACACAACCTCTGATCTCTGATCCCTGATCCCAGCTGCCACCCAGGCCTTGAAGGAAGCCACGAAGACATGGGGGATGGGACGACACCTCTGGCTCTCTCCAGCAGCTGGAACCTGGGAATGGGGCTTACTCAGACTAGCCTTAGTCCCCAGCAGTCTCCCTGGAAGGAAGGGTTAGGCCTGAACCAGGAAGTACTGTTTCAAATACTCTCATACACAGAGAAAGAAACCGGGGAAAGGAACTGGGGACAGGTGCCAACTCTGTGAACAGCTGCTTGAGCACACAGGTCACTGATCCTTGGAGAAGGCTAAGGAGGAATCTGACTGCCATGGTCAAGTAGGTGATGGGTCTTAAGCTGAAGCTAATGACTGGCTGTCTCTATCTCCTACTATGGTCAGAATGAGAGGAAACTGGCTTAAATGGTGGCAGGAAGGATTTAGGTTAGACATATGGGAGAACTTCCTGTGACAGAGTGTCTACACTGTGTGTCCCAGTTGTTAATCCAAGTTGAACTCTCCCCTGGAGTTGATGAGAATTGCATGATGATGCTTGCTAATGAATAACTTGTCTTCCTTGTGATTAGCAGAGAACCTCCAACCCAGAGAATTCTGGTGTCTAGACTGTCCACAGGAAGAAATCCACAGAGGTCTGAAGGCACCAAGAGCTGGGTTCCTTCTTTGTCCCAAAGAGTTTAGGCCACTATGAGCCCGTGTAACATTGCCTCTCTTGCATCCAGACCTCTGAATGCCACTCTCAGAAAACCAAGCCTGATAGAGTTGTCCAGACACCTGAACTTTGCAGCAAAGGGACAGACTTTGAAGTCTCAGAATTTGAGGTCTGAGAGCTCATAGGCAATTCCAGAGTAATAGCAAATAGGATCTACAGCATCAGGATTTCATTAACAGCTTGAGTAAACTCTGTATATTTAGAAGTAGACAAGCTTCAGCGGGGTGTGGTGGTGCACACCTGTAATACCAGCTGCTGGGGAGGCTAAGGCAGGAGGATCAAAGGTTGGAGGCCAGCCTGTGCTACTTATGGGAGCCAATCTCAAAGTAAAAAAATAAAAAGGGCTAAAGGGCTGGGGGATGTGGCTCAGTGATTAAATGCCTCTGGGTTAAATCCTTGATACCAAAACAAAACCAAACAACAACAACAAAAAAAACCATGCTACCAAGGGCTAGGGTTGAAACTCAGTGGTAGAGTGTGTACTCAGTGGGTACAAGGTCCTAGCTTTGATCCCCAGAACCACAAAACAAAACCCACCCTCCCACACACAAAAACTTCTACAATAGAAAAGAAGGCAAGTAAAGTGCATGTTCTGTTCCATCTGGGGCATGGAGCTGTAGATCCCATGGTCAGTTTTCCTGGGGCCTGTGTGTGTATGCACACACATTCATGTGCAACACACATGTACTCACAGTTTGGATCCAATAGCCATTCAGTTTCAGATGAGGTCTTCCATGTGCCTTGCACTGTGTTCTGTTTAGTGAGGCCACTGAGGGACATATGATTTAGTTTGTATTGTCCATGGAATATGGAGATTAAGACTGAAGCATATGAGCCAGGCACAGTGGCGCAGGCCGGTAATCCTAGCTGATCAGGGGGACTGAGGCAGAAGGATCATGAGTTCAAAGCCAGCCTCAGCAACAGCAAGGTGCTAAGCAACTCAGTGAGACCCTGTTTCTAAGTAAAATACAAAATAGTGCTGGGAGTGTGGCTCAGTGTTTGACTTCAATCCCCAGTAATCCCCCACAAAACAAACAAACAAACAAACAAAAAAGATTGAGGCACATGAAAAGGAGTGTGACAGAATCAGTATTCAGAGAGGAACTGGGGCCCCAAGGGTCACAGAAGGCCTCATGGGAGAGAAGGGAAAGAGAGCAGAACCTAGATAAAGAAGAGGGCATTCCTGGCAGGGAGCATGGAGAGATCATGGTGCAAATGAAGTAAGTACGTCTGAGGCAGAGTCTTCACATGCAGAGGGTTAGATGTGAGTTAGGCAACTAGGGTATGGAAGTCTACCATGAATTCAGCAGATGAATTTGGACTTGACTGAGGCATTAGGGAGCCTGTGGGCTCTTGAGCAGGAGAGGGTACACAGCAACCATCTGGCAATGGCACACAGAGTAATCTGGGACAGGGAGGCACAGAGAGAAGACCAGAGGCAGTGAAGAATCTTTCTGCACTTGTGGCTGGTGTCCAAGTATGCACTGATGCCCAGGTCTTGGCCCTGAGCTGGCAGCTTCCACGAGTGGATGGCTGGGTACCTGAGAATGCCAGAGTCTTGATGACCTGCTGGGACAGGCCCCATACTTTCCTTGTGTTGGCAGCTGCTCCCTCCTTTAACCCCCTACTTTCCAGTAGACCCTTGCAAACAGGAGAGTAACATCAGACTTTCCCAGCTCCTGTACTGTGAGTGGGGGGAGCTTAGATCATGTCACTCTGCTGGCCAGCTCTCCCCAGCTCCCCCTGTATCCCTCAGAGGCCTGAGGCCCTGTCTGGCAGCCCAGGCAGAGCAGAAAGTATTGGATCAGGCCAGGAACTCACAAAGGGAGTTCAGGGGTATCTTGGGGGAAGGACCTGGGGCCCAATGTCTAGAAACTTCTAAATATAAGCTCAAGGTGAGCAAACTCTCTAGGGCATGTAGATCAATTCTATATAACTAACTATATAATTCTATATAAACTCCTCCAGGCATAGAATTCTCGTCTCCTCCCTAAACTGCCCCATAATCTTTAGATGGTTCTGATCATAGAAAATGCATGCTCTTGTTTTGAGTCTTGTTGTGGTCAGTGTGTGCTAATGATGAGGCTTCTGGGATAGCACAGTCAGAGGAAGGGTCCATAGTCAGAGGAAGGGTCTGGGATGGTTCTGCTTGGTCCCTGGTCCTGCCTGCTGCACCTGCTTGGCACCCAGGGCCAGGGCAGTTTAAGCGTGAGAAATGCTGATCCATTTCCAGCTTGGTCAGGGGTGGGGCAGCCAGGGTGAGGCTGCCCAGGTCAGCCCTTCTCAGCCTCATGGGGAAGGCCAGGCTCAGGTCAGCCTGTCTCATGGACCAACCCTCCCCAGGCTGAGATCATCGCCCTCCATGGCAGCCCCCACCCCC